CAAAGTTAAAAGATCATCTATCTTCCCTCTGCAGCAAGAGGACTAAATTTTTATGCCGTGAATCGTCCAATAATGGTATAAATTCGAGCACGATCATAAAATCGGGGAGAATTAAATATTTGTTTATAAAAAAATAGGGTTTTTTTCAGTACCACTTTAAATTGCTAAAAATTAACAATACACTATTTAAAAAGCCTATTGGGATAAATTATCAGGAAATTGCTTTTCCTGAGTAGTTTTATTTAATTAACTTTTAGGTACATTTTTCTGAAAAACTATTTGTCATATTGAAACGATTGATTTTCCTTTCGTTTTGTAGGCAAAGAATTGTAATCAGTAATTACTTTTAGGAAACATCTAGGAGATGAGAAATAAATGTTTATACATTGTTTACTTTTTGGTATTTGGTATAGGGTAGTAGCAACTTTTTTTCTACCAAAAGTTTGGTAATTTTTTTAAACTAACTACTACGTATTTTGGATAGAATGAAACTTGCGAATCAAGTGTTTTGGGGTATCTTGACTTGAATAGCAACCCGAACCCTTAGGCTGTTTCAAGGCTTTCCTCTTTTATATAAACTCTGTGTCAAAAATTACCTTCCAAACTTAAATTATTAACTCTACTACTGCAAAAGGAATAGAGTTTTGGCGTGAATTGGTCTGTTATGGGAAAAATTTGAGCTCTAGCAGAAAATCGTTTTTCCTGAAAAGTTTCATTTTTCCACCTTTCGGTACCAAACAATGCATTTTTAAACCACGTTTATATTCCATATCCCACCGAAACCGGACGTGTTTTGGAGAAAATCAACAAACGATAAGTGGAAATGTTCTAATTGAACCTCAAAATTATTTTTTCCTTTTCTTTTATATTTTATGGTTTCAGTTACTAAAACAGAAATTTTCATTCTTTTTAACAATTCTCAAAGTTTTCATGGCCTTTCTTCTCATTTTTTTCTCTTTCTCTTTTCTCGTCTATTTGAAACCCCTGGCGGTGGACAGCTAAATCGGCTAAGTGTGGGTGATTCCAGTCCCCTGGGGTAGCCAACCCTCCAAACCTTTCATAGCAAAAACTGACATCATTATCTTAAAAAATTTGAAGGTGTCTTCATAAAGAAACTTCATCTAACATAATGAAAGTTAACAAGAGAGTATTCCCAAATGAATCCTACTAATACTCCTGCAAAGCCATACTAAAAGAAAAATCAGTGATCCAAGCCGAAAAAAAAATTCTTTCAGGAATTCTGGCAACAATTAGCCAACTATCATTTTGAACAGGAAGATCCCGGTGCCTTTTGCGTCTTTGTAGAAGGCAATAACAACAATCTTGGTAAAGTTCACCCCATGTTATTTGGGAAATGGCATTTCCAAAATAGTGCTATTAGTAATGACCCGATTATGGGGATTCGCATTGTAGGAAAAAAATAGATACTGTAGAAAGCGATGCTCTGAAAAAAATTATTTACGTATATTCCTTATTTTCGAATAAAAAAAAGGAATTATTCATCACGTTGACCCTAGTTTAGTTTAACATGAGATTTGGCTAAATATTCGGTCGATTGTTCCACTGTTATCAGTTGATCGATGAACAAATGGAAAAAATTGATGAAAAATTTAGGATTACCCCTATGCAGACTTGCCTAATAACTTTCAGAGGGCAAAAATTGCCCGAGGCAGTTACGGTATATGGTAGTTATGGTCCTGTCCGCCGGTACATACCTACGTCAGGCAGTGCGGTAACTGCTTACGCTTCAACCACGCGGCGGCACAAGACAGATGCAAACTACATTGTTTAGAATGTGGAGACGAACACTTAATAAAAGAAGACACCTTGCGAATAGCAAAGAATCCGAGTTCTATAAAAAAAAAAATCGAGGAAAACCCAGAAAAAATGTTCAGAGGATTCTTATGTCTCGATGGTTTCTAGTAATAGGTTCTATATTCTGGGTAACCTTGTTGACTCCCAAGATAATGAAATTATTTTATATTATAATTATTCAGATATCGTGAGATGCGGTCGGGTGTGATGTAGGTTTCAGAAAAACATTTTCTTTATCGTGCCAACGTTTCGATCTTTTATTGAGATCATCTTCAGGGCCTGGGATTTACAAACAATGTTTACATTTAACAATTACATTTAGGATGTGGAAAAGTGAATTTATACAATGCAAAATATATTTTATATTCAAACAAAGTATTTCTACACACTCAAAGTGTTTGTCTTCTGTGTAATTGTGCCATCCTTGCGTGTCGTGTTGAGAGTGCCAGTGAGATTTTGCTGTTTTAAACATAAACATAAAACAGAAAAATCTCACTGGCACTCTCAACACGACACGCAAGGATGGCACAATTACACAGAAGATAAACACTTTGAGTGAGTAGAAATACTTTGATTGAATATAAAAAATTTTGCATTGTATAAATTCACTTTTTTCCACATCCTAAATGTATTTGTTAAATGTAAACATTGTTTGTAAATCCCAGGCCCTGAAGATGATCTCAATAAAAGATCGAAACGTTGGCACGATAAAGCAAATGTTTTTCTGAAACCTACATCACACCCGACGGCATCTCACGATATTTGAATAACTATCGATTAACGGTCACTAATCTCTACACATTTATATTATAATTATAAAATTCACCTTGTTCTGATTAGTTTGATTAATTTCAATTTAAAAGTGTTTAAAGTATGATTCAATGCACTAATGATTGTAATCATTTTCCTTGTTTTTGGTCAAATAAATAAATATAAAATAAAATATTTGTAGATCGTGACATAGTTTAGAAAAACATTTTCTTCATCGTGCCAACGTTTCAATCTTTATTGAGATCATCTTCAGGGCTCAAAATGTTTGTTTTCTGTATTGATGTGTCATTGTTGGGTGTCGTGTGTAGTGCCAGTCACTACAGTTTTAAAACCTACGTCACACCAGACCGCATCTCACGATCTCCAAATAATCTTCAACGGTCACTAAACGCCACACAAATAAAAAAATGTTAGCCTTTTCCTTGAAAAGAAAGAACTACATAAACACCACGTATAATGACTGTAAAACTGTTCATGCAATATAGTACTGATTCCGAGTGCTGGTTGCTTCTTTAGTCGACGCCATACCTCTTCTGGCCATGAACCTGCCTGCCTCCCTTCCGTCAGGTGTACCTCTGCTCCACTGACCGAGTGACGATCTCACATGATCGCTGACTCTGTCAAGACCATGTCTCCGTTTCACCAATAGTGTCATTCCTAGAGTTTTGCCTCAGGCCCTATTCCCTCCGGACAAGTGACGATCAATCTTGATCCTTACTTGCGGAAATCCGTCTCCCTTTCACAAGGAGTGCCGACGTTGAGACATCCCCGCAGGATTTATCTATCCGTAGAATACCCCATTCTTTGTTTGAAATTGCAGACCCTTTACATCAATCTATTGCAGAAAATCTAATTTAATTTAAAATTTTTTAAACAATTAAAATTTTAGGAGAAATTTTTTAAAACTTCTGCCGCTCAAAATTGCAATTCCTCTATATCAATCGATGCAGATAACAATCTAGTTTAATAATATATTCATATGTGCATTACTTATTTTAATTAACTATAATTCTTGTCTAAGGCATTGGTTGGTATGATAAAGCTAGTGTCACGAGCGGAATTCGAACCCGAACCCCTTGCGGTGCGCAAAATTGCAAATCCTTTACACCAATCGATGCAGAAAAAACTCGTTCAATAAAAAAAAAATTTTTTGGTGAAAATTTTCATTTTTTTTACACTTTCGGTGTTTAAAATTGCAAATATTTTACACTAATCAATTCAGAAAAATTTCTACTTTAATAATTTTTTTTATAAATTACATTTTTAACGCCGAAATTGGATGACCTATTTGACTCACTTTCGGTACGGTATTGTGGTAGTGCAATCATCTTTTCGATTACTTTAATTAATTTTGTACACCATCCTTGGTCTGTTGGTAATAATCAGTATTCCAGAGCTTTTTCCCTTTTCTAATTTAATTTCTTAAAATAAAGAATCTTGACCGATCGAGACGTAAGGCCATTGCTATCAGTGTTGGGCAAAAATTAGTCATGTCTAATTATTAATGATTGATCAATCGGACCGTTAGTCATGATTGGTAGTAAATGACTAATTTAGTCACAATATAGTTAGTCATGACTAAATTTCGATAAATCTTGTACAAATGTGTACTCAAAAAATGAAAAATACACAACTTCATCACTTTTAAAAAAATTCTAACAGAAATTTATTTCATCAAAAGGAAAATACTTCAACACCTTATTTAACAAAAATCAATCATCCAATTATAAGTAAAACTATCTCGTTATAAAAAGCCAAAAAAATAATGATAATAATAATAAAATTAAAAAAATCCTAGAACAAGCTACGCTTAGAAAAGTAAATATGTTTACGTAACCGATCAATGGAAAAAAATTTTTTTGAATTAAAATTTATTCCACTTGAAAGGAGATATTTCTACATTATTTGGAAAATACACCATCTATGGGTCTTGATTGTAATAAAATAGACATGTAGAATAATTATGTAACTTTGGTTTTCTTTTACGATAACACTTTTTGAAGGTTGGCCTTGAGAACGACTCTCATCTCACAATTTTTATCCTGAGTCTGTTGGATTTTGGTAAATTGGTCATTGTAGCCAGAGTTGGGCAAAATCTAACTAATTCTTAATCATGATTAAATTAGTTCGATTTTGCCCAACTCTGGATCTGCTTATCATCGCCATTTCTTAAGACGCACAGAAGACAGAGTTGGGCAAAATCTAACTAATTCAATCACGATTAAGAATTTTGATTGAAATTTAATCATGATTGAATTAGTCATGAGTAAATTAATCATTGTATGATTTAGTCATACCTCATGATTGAATTAATCATGGCTAAATCATATAATGATTAATTTACTTATGACTAATTCAATCATGATTAAACTTCAATCAAAATGCTTAATCATGATTGAATTAGTTAGATTTTACTCAACTCTGATTGCCATCCATGGGTTACCTACGAACTGACACAATTCTACTTGGAATAAGGTAAAAGGTATGAAGGTAAAAAAGGAAAATATTCTAGTCATTGGAGGGCATTGTAGCCATTGCCTGTCGTGAAAGAAAGGTCAGAACAATTTACAACACATTTCTGGAAAATTGTCGTTTATTGAAAGTTATCAAAGATAAATTCCAAGGGCAATGATATTTTAAACCATATGGGTGGGAAAACAAACGGATTTGCCAACTGCTAAATATATCCTGGCTATTCCTCATTCCCATTCCGAAGACAAAGTGAAATTGTCACGGGGTTATGTGTCGACTTTGATTTTTAATAGGGAAATCCCCACCCCCTGATGCGTGACGTGTCGCTTCATCGGATTTCAATAGCTTTTTGTCCGTCACGACGCTTCCTATGCGGTTGCCTGGTAACTTATTTACCTCCTTTTTCAAAATAAAAGTCTGCCAGTGTGTTCCGAAGTTCTACTCTTCAGCACGACACGGACCCGTGGAAACATAATTTAAGAAACAAGGTAAATCCGATATTTTCAGAAAGTGAAACCTGCACTCTGTCATAATGTGCGGTTTCTTGCAGTCCTCACCTGTTGCCCTTTAATATTTATGAAAATATAAATAATAGATTGTTGAAGTTTGTGAGACGATGAGCAGTCGGACTTTTTAGGCAGACCAGGCTGACCGAAAAGCACCGGAATGAAGGTCCCAAGATTCCCGTTGTTCATTTGCTTCTAAAGAAAGATTTTCACGTATGAACATAATTGCAATTTGAATAAGATTGAAACCTGACTCATAGCGAAGCATTTCATAAGGCTTCATTTCAACAAAAGCTCCTTTAAGTGTATCGATTGGGGCTTCTATTTATTGGACGATCGCGTGTCGCTGTTTAAGATTTTAACTGACATTTCTTTCATTTATGGTATTCTTCTTGTGTCTCTGAATGTATTTATTGTTCATTTTACAACACGCCGTTTTCAATTACGAAACAATTTAAGAGAACAACAAAAACCAGTAGGTGCAGATACCATCAAAACATAAATAATAAAATTTGAAATAAATTTCAATATTTTTTGCATAAACCAAAAAAACATTGAGCAGCCGGCAATACAATGGCCAATAGTAGATATTGATGTACAAGACATAATTTGAGGCTGACCGACGTAGAACAGTAGGTTATGACATTTTTTTTTACAAAAAACGAAGTTAATTTCCGTAAAACCCGTAAATATAAAGTTTTGGCAAAATCAAAAAATGATTTTTTTCCAATTTTATTCCTCGTTCTATTTTTCTCGAAAACCACAGAAATTATGATAATTTTTAAACGGCCCCGCTGATAATAAAGCTTCTAAACTTCACAAGAGTTTAGAATCAAAGTCTTGTATGAACTCATTAAATTCACTAATTTCGTGGTCCGCTTGACCAATTTATATATTACAATTAGTTAAGGTTTTTAGTTGAGATAAAAAAGTCAATGGCACGAGCGGGATTCGAACCCACGATCTTNCAAGTGGTAGAGCAGCGGCGTATCTAGCCGAAGATCGTGGGTTCGAATCCCGCTCGTGCCATTGACTTTTTTTATCTCAGCTAAAAACCTTAATTAATTGTAATTCATTCCATTGTAATTCATTCCATTGTCCACTCAATAGGGAGCTGAGAGAAGTAGTCTTTTAAGTCTATACAAAACTGTCATCCAATCTAAAATAGAATATGGCTCGGTTGCATATGGTTCTGCGAGTGAACATTTTTAGATCTCATCCTATTCAGAACTCAGCTCTGTGGATGGCTACTGACGCGTTCCAAACTGGCCCTGTGGACAGCATTCATGTTGATGCTGGTGAGCTACCATTAAAATTCAGACGTCGAATATCTGATCTATCTTTTTTTGCCAAAATCCTTGCCATCACGCTACACCCCCTCCATTACTTCTTCAATAATAAACGCCCTCTTCCCGAATTTCCTAGCTATCATGCATATTCCACGTTTTTCATTTCCACTTAAATATACATCTAACTTACAGACTTCAATATCGAAATTCCATGAGCCCAAAAGAGCTACAAACGTCCCCTTTACTTCCTTGCTCCCTTCCTGCCTTCCCTCTGCCAATCCCTCTCCTCGTTCTGAAAATAAAATAAACCAGGCTCTCTCGAAAACAAGAGACTCTGTTAACCTGTCTACGGATTGGTCATTCCCGGCTCACTCACAGTTACCTTCTTAAAAAGACCCCATGTCCAACTCGTAAATCTCCTATCATTATAATGCACATTTTAATCATGCCCTTTATAGTGCTCTGCTGGACCCACTACCAAATTCCTAACAATTTACATAGTTAACTAACTATAATTCACCTTTCATAGATAACATATTCATGATCCTGGCTAAAAGTAAACTAATAAATAAAATCTAGTTATAAAGTTACTTTCATTGCATGCGCCCCTCGTGGGTGGTGCGGCGGAGCTGCGCTGTCGGGTTTCTCGGTTGCAGGCCGGTCTGGTGACGGGTGCAGCGGGGCTCAGGCCCGGTCGTGTCTCGGCCGTGCCGCCGACGTACTGTCTCAAGGCCTAAATGACCAGTGAGGTCGCTGCCTTTGCGAACAGAAAGTTCAGAAGACTGTAAACTACTTCCTAGACAAGAGATTTTCAACTAAATCGAAAAATAATTTTTTCGTTCATATTTTTCGCTTTTCTAAGCCTCCTGTTTTTTCCCGAAAATCATAAAAATGACGATAACTTTTAAAACATTTCACCGATACACAGGAAAATGTATAGAGTTTTGGGACATTGTCCACTACACGTAATGGCAAAACACGACTTTAGTAAAAAATCACAACCAGAGATAATATATAAATAAAATATAAAACATTTGGTCAGTTGTTGTAGACCTCATCCTCATTTTTCATATTTTAATGATAGAAAATATAAACAGTAACAACACAGGCTGAAAGAAGATACATTCAAAAATTAGAAAGCTAATGGTTGCAATAACATGAAATTTGACAAATTCCAGAGAATTTATTAAATTTTTAAGTGGAACAAAAGCATCGAAGAGAAAAAGAATTGATAAGACAGCCCAAAAATCTCTACTTTTAGTTTGCTTTTTCGTATCTAAGAGCTTCAAAGGGTACTTAAAACGAATAAATATTGTTTTTATCTCTCTATAAATAATTTCAGCAAAATGAAAAAAATTCTCAAATTTTTACCCTTCTGCCACCAATTTTTCGAAAAAAAAAACTGATAAATTTAAAATGATGTCATAGATACACAGGAAACTTTACAAATATTTAGAAACCTATAAAGTACACATAATGGAACAAACAATGTTTCTGTAAAAAAATTAAAGCCGGCGATAAAATAAAACGTTTGAGCGCGTATTCAAAAACACTTTCAAAATGAAAATTGATTAATGTTTTTCTACGTTTAGTAACATTTTTTTCGAGCTGTGGCTAAGAAATTTGTTTGTTATCACTGCTGACAAATATAACCTCTAGGATTATAAAACAATGCATGAGTAAAAGTAATCTAAACTTTGCACTAATTTTTTGATAATACAAGCGATTTGAGACTTGTATTAATAGTACAAACAGGGACGGGTGTGTCAAGAATGCGGTGGTTTAGAAAAAAACCTTTTTTATTTTTTTGCCGTCGTTTCGACCTTTATTTCATCTTCAGAGCATAAGTACAGCAACAGTAATCTTCCTCATGCGTTGATCACCGCTTGTATTCGTCGTGGCATCGGTTTTACGCGGTTTTGAATGTAGTGCTGTGGAATATTTTCATACTCCTCCACCAGCGCCATTCTTAATTCCTACAAATTCTCTGGCATCACTGGGCGGCTTTTACCCTCTTTGATCGTCCCAAAGATGTTTTTAGTCGGGGCTTGAAACATAACCCGCTGTTCTGTGCTTTGTAAGAAATTCTGGACCAATGGCAGGCCTTCTCGCATGTAATCCAGCTTCAGAAAGTCTTTGCCTTACCGTGTGTAAACTGACATTAACATTCCTCAATTTTTGAAGTTGTTGCTTGATCTAAATAGTGGTAGAATGTCGATTCCGGACTACATTCGAAACAATAAAACGATCATCTCTCTGAGATGTGACGTGAAGGCGACCTGATCTGTGCCTTCTTGAGTAACGTCCAGTATCTTGGTAGCGATAGAAGACCCTTCAGACGGATGTTCTGAGAATGTTAGCACCCTGGCCACATACGCATTTTTGCCGATGTTTCGACCTTACATAATATAATTGTAGATTACAAAACATGTTGATTGGAAAAAATACAATTTAAGATGTAAATGCATATAAATTTGGAACCAAGTATTTCATACTCACATTACGTGTAGTGCTATTCTTGTGGTCCTTAGACAAATTGTCAAAGCACCTTATTATGTCACTAACCTCGCTATCCACAAAGACCTCAACATTCCTTTTGTCAACGAACTAATCCGGTCCAGACTCCAAACATTCCATACCAACCTTTCGAACCATCCTAACCATACTGCTCGAGCCCTATCTACTCATTCCCATCCTGACAACCTACCACGTCGCCTCAACCGACGATGGCCTCGGGACCTCTTGACACCTAGTCATACACGCAGAGTGCCAGCAATGGCTGGCTCCTCAAAAAGCACGTGTTCTACCTGTGCAGTGCTGGCATTAGTGCTAGTGTTGTGCTGTGTGATATATTAATCATGTGTACATATTTGTATAGTATACAATCCTGTATCGGTAACAAATAAATTTAAAAAAAAATTCTTGTGGTGTCATATTGGTTTTGTGTGAAAATGTTCTGAAACGTGAATTTGTATCCGCTGTTTTTATATGACTGTGACAGGGTGGGGACGCGGTCAATCTGGGAAAATTTCTTTGAACATAGGCGGTTTTATTTAACTCAAAAGAAGTCTAGAATGGGGATTTTCTGAATTGGATTTGTGATTCGGCATTCAATATTGGAAAGGAAGTTAATTATTAAAGACGATAAACGAAGGAAAGGGAAAAATACAATAAAATCATTAGCAAGTTACCGAATTACATACTTACCCTTTTATTACGATAAATTATATTAAAATTTGTGATTTTTTCTAATTATATCTTATTATTCAGAAATCGTGAGATGCGGTCTGGTGTGATGTAGGTTTCAGAAAATCATTTTCTTTATCGTGCCAACGTTTCGATCTTTATTGAGATCATCTTCAGGGCCTGGTGGTTTACATGTATCTGTTTAAACTCAGTCGCAGCTACGTCAATATCATTTATTCAAATTCAATAAAGATAACATACCTATATCATCACATCACATTCCACACATCAAACATTTTTTCACATAGTCCAATTTTTCAACAATTTAGCTTTCCTTTTCCTATTTCCCCTTCTATATAATCCTGAAAGGATAATCTGGCCGAACCATAACCAACGTTTTTTCCCTTCGTCAGATCTTTTCACCTCAAAGAAGCCGACGCCTTATACAAAAATGTCTTTTCTATACCGACTTCCTTCCCCACCCCTTCAAAATCCAACGCATATAAACGCAAATCAGCAATATCTCACTGGCACTCTCAACACGCAAGAATGACACAATTACACAGAAGACAAACACTTTGAGTGAGTAGAAATACTTTGATTGAATATAAAAAAATTTGCATTGTATAAATTCACTTTTTTCCACATCCTAAATGTATTTGTTAAATGTAAACAATGTTTGTAAATCCCAGGCCCTGAAGATGATCTCAATAAAGATCGAAACGTTGGCAGGATAAAGAAAATGTTTTTCTGAAACCTACATCACACCATACCGCATCTCATATCGACTAACGGTCACTACTCACCACACATTATATCTTATGTTGAATTAAACGTAAAAAAGTCCGTTTTTTTTAAATTCGTGCGAAACTTGTGAACATTTCGGAAAAGTGCGTATTTTTTAGCTCTTTTATTTGCCTTAGGTTTATGGTGTTATTTTAAACAGACAGCTAGTTTGACAATTACCAATCGTCAAACAATGACATTTTAATAGGTTATTTACCGGAAAAATATTACCAGTCGATAATGGTACAGGTTCACAAGATTCGCACTGACATATAAAATTCTAAAAACACCTAAAAATGATAATTCATTAGCAAGTTACCAAATGACAAAAAATAATTGAAAGAATTTGGTCAATCAGACTACTAAATATAATGGATTTACTAACAAATAATATTCGTTGGTCGATACCTCCATCTGCACTGAAATAATTCGTCTCCGTTGGATCGCAGATGGCTCTTCCTGACCAAAACTTTCATCAGATGTAGACTAAATACGTGGTCCGAATAATTTTTAATAACATGTTTTACTTACCTTAAATTTTATTTTGTGTGGTGATTAGTGACCGTTAATCGATATTTATTTAGAAATCGTGAGATGCGGTCTGGTGTGATGTAGGTTTCAGAAAAACATTTTCTTTATCGTGCACACGTTTCGATCTTTACTGAGATCATCTTCAGGGCTCAAAGTGTTTTTCTTCTGTGTAATTGTGCCTCTCATCACGACACGCAAGAATGGCACAATTACACAGAAGACAAACACTTTGAGCCCTGAAGATGATCTCAGTAAAGATCGAACGTGTGCACGATAAAGAAAATGTTTTTCTGAAACCTACATCACACCAGACCGCATCTCACGATTTCTAAATAAAAATTATATTTTATTATTTATTTTTTTACCTTCGGGTACAATCATTTGATTCAGATTTCCCTACTCTCTCTCTATCATACCTTTTACAGATCCTATAAAACGCACAGTACACGAGGTGGTTAAAATGACCAAATAAGCTCGTCAGAAACACAGCTAGAATAAAAGGACTATGATGACACCTGGTTTGATCCGTTACGATCAATCAGATCACATACAAATTTCTTTCGTAATTTTGCTTAATTTATGTTTGCATTTGTGGCAAGGTTCAGTTATTATGCCGTCGTCAAGGTGGAGACGGTTGTTTGAAGTTGAATTGGTGTCTTAGAATAACTTTCTGCCGTTTGTGAGTTATTCAAGTCGTGCTGTTGTGTTATTCGATCAAATTATTCAATGGTCCGCACGTCCTCGCTGTAAGTCTGGGATCAGGGAGTTTCGTCGGCTTTAGCTTGTTCTATTGTTTAATCTGCCTGCTGAACCGATATGTAGTTCGGTAGGTTTTTCTGTCGGTTTCGGTTATTTTAAAATTTAAAGGGTTGGTTTTGGTTTTTCTTACCAACACGTCTCTTTTTCGTAATGAAAAAGTATTCGAGAAATTCAATTTTGGGCCCAACCCCGACATACAGATTTTTTTTTTAAACGGAGTCTTACGTCTAAAAAACGAAAACATCTTTAATAGAAACATGTTAAATATCTTATTATAAATTCGAACTCGTCTATTTTCTCCAGTTCATGGAAAAACATTTAATCAGGGTGATATAACCTACCATGTCCCTAACTGACCCAACCTAACTTAAGCTAACTAGTCCCTAGCCCTAGGGTCTAAGTCTAACCCTACTTAACCTGTCCCTAGACCTAATCCTAACGTTAACCCTACTTAACCTGACCCTAGACCTAATCCTAACTTTAACCCTACCTAATTAACCAAACACATGCTCACCTCCTGATAACGAAAATGACCATTTAAAAAAATAATTATCTAGCTAAAAATATATCCATGGTAAAAAATGCAAAACCAATCTACTTCATAAGCTAACTCAAACTGAATTATCTCAAACACTTTTTTATTAGATGCATAAATTTTTTGTAAGGGATGTTGTTTCAATGAATTTTAAAATAAAAGTGAGAGTTGTAGAGTTGTGAGATGAATAACATAGTCAATGATTTATGCATATACCATGATTTTTAGCAAATATAATTTTTGAAAAAGAAATAATTCTTCCTTGATTCGTTTAGAAAATAGTTAAGATTTTCTATTGTAAATTTTTACAAGATTTGCATTTAATGTATATTTTGTGGTTGTTTTTTTTGTCGAGGTCCAGAGCTTCTTCAAGACTGATGGAACGATATGAAAAGCTAGGAAAACTAGGAGAAGGAAGTTACGGTGTTGTGTTCAAATGCCGGAACAGAGATACAGGCCAGCTCGTTGCGATTAAGAAATTTGTAGAGTCCGAGGATGATCCGCTCATAAGAAAAATAGCACTAAGAGAAATTAGACTACTTAAGGTGAGTTTGTCATTTTTATAAGTTCAATTTTTGTGATTTATCAGTAGAGACCACTAGGATACATAGCTATTGAAAGAAAATGAAAAAAAAATTTTTTTTAGAAACTGATTTTCAAAAATTGTTGAGTAAATGTTTTAATATATCTGGAATCCTATTGGTACATTGGTAAGTGGGAGCACTGAGAAAACAATTAACAGTTATAAGATGTTTGTAGAAATAAAATAGCATGGTAGATCACAAACCAAGCAGGAATACGAGACCTTTGTAATAATTTAATAGTGGCTCATGACATACGGCTAATATTAGATTTTCCCATAATTAAAAATTAATAAACAAATGCTAATAAGTGTGATTTATATTCCAGCTCCATTATGACTGATATTCTGGTATTTGTATGTTTCAGAGTTTAAAACATCCAAATTTAGTTAATTTAGTCGAAGTTTTTAGACGTAAAAGAAGGCTCCATTTGGTGTTTGAATACTGTGAGAGAACGGTGTTGGGTGAGCTCGAGAGGAACCCACAGGGCTGTCCACCAGCACTCGTCAAGCAAATCATTTGGCAGACGCTGCACGGAATATCATACTGTCATCAGCACAACTGCATCCACAGAGATGTCAAGCCGGAAAATATTCTTCTCACGTCCAATGGTGTTGTCAAACTGTGCGATTTTGGATTTGCAAGGATCATGAGTAAGAAACAAAAATACATCAACATTTCTTACTTTGATCGAATACTTTCTGAGAATGCAATTAAGACCAGACAGTATTTTTTTAAAAAAAAGAGAGAGAAAAAATAGATAAGTTACATTGAGAGATAATATTTTTTGGGCTATCTTTCAATATAAAAACTTCTAAAAATTGGAGGTAAACACTGCAGTCTATAAACTATGAATCGAGTTTCAATGAAATAAATCCTAAACTTCAAATAAGTTTAAACATATATTTTTAATTATTACTATTTAAACTGTAAATGAGTACTAGTCAAACAAATAATTAACATTAAAAATGCCTATGACCTAAATCTGCATGTCAAAGTTTATTTATTTAAAATTATTATTATTATTTTTTTTTTTAGGTCCAGGTGAAAATTATACAGACTATGTAGCAACTCGGTGGTACAGGGCACCTGAACTACTTGTTGGTGATACCCTCTATGGTCCACCAGTTGATATCTGGGCTGTAGGTAAGATCAAATAAGTTTTTCAAAGCTATTTTATATCTTGGAAGGCACTTTAAAGAGGATAGAAAATATAAATTGGAATATTGGGTGCTGGTGAAACAATTTAAATTAAAAAATTAACCAAATTTAATAATATATCTTTAATCTTCTGGGGAACCAGTTTTGAAGAATTGTTTAATCTTCACTGGAACTTCTTCATGCATTTTGCCAACCTTCTCTTTTTGATAATCTTCTAGATGAATCTTTTACCTTAAAATAATCTAAAGAAAATTCATCTCTGGCCACAAAAATAATAAAGCTGCTGGTATTGATGGCATCAATTATGAATTTTATTAAATTCACTAATTTTGTGGTCCGCTTGACCAATTAATATATTACAATTAATTAAGGTTTTTAGTTAAGACAAAAAAGTCAATGGCACGAGCGGGATTCGAACCTGCGATCTTCGGCTTGATACGCCGCTGCTCTACCACTTGAGCTATCGTGACCTCGATCCACTCGGACACCAACTTCCCATCTCAACCTCACCTTTTGAGTTTTCCCTCCTTTTTGCCACTTTTCAAACGTCGTGTAATCGGATTGGATTCTCGGCGATATTTTATAAAATGCTCACCTGATTTTTTGAAATTTTTTTATCTCTTTAAAATTTTATTTTTAATATTGGTATCTAATACCAATAAGGAGACATGAATGATACTAGTAACTATCATGGTATTTTGTGTATTGATGATTCCACAAAAATTTTGGTAAGCCTTCTTCTCCATTGCCCCAAGGAATTTATCTGCCTTTGAAGTGAGTTCCAGGGAGGCTTCAGGAAAGGATATTAAAATTAACATTAAAGAATATTACAATTAATTAAGGTTTTTAGTTGAGATAAAAAAGTCAATGGCATGAGCAGGATTCAAAAAAGGCAAAAAGGAGGGAAAACTCAAAAGGTGGGGTTGAGATGGGAAGTTGGTGTCCGAGTGGATCGAGGTCACGATAGCTCAAGTGCGTATCTAGCCGAAGTTCGTGGGTTCGAATCCCGCTCGTGCCATTGACTTTTTTATCTCAACTAAAAACCTTAATTAATTGTAATATATTAATTGGTCAAGCGGATCACGAAATTAGTGAATTTAAGTAAATGAGGATGTTAAAGATTTATTTTTAAAGGAATACATCACAACAAGGGCTATATTATTTTTGTGCTGTAAACTTTAAAAATCTAACGGAAAAAACTATATGTGANGGTTCGAATCCCGCTCGTGCCATTGACTTTTTTATCTCAACTAAAAACCTTAATTAATTGTAATATATTAATTGGTCAAGCGGACCACAAAATTAGTGGAATTAAAGAATATTATTAATTTACATTTAAATAAAAAATGGTTTCTATGTTGATTTCAATGCTGCCTTTAATTGTATTGATGACCACTTTATACGCCAACCAAAATCAATCTCACACTCTAGATATGCTGTTAAAGAAACAACGAGATTTCATGCTATTTTAAGATGGGTTTAAGCATTAGACAGGGCTGTAGTCTGTTATTGTTCTTTTTCTTTGTCAATGATCATAAGCTTTGAGATCTGATAAAAAGCCTTAAGCTTAACGAAGGCCATAAAGTGGCCGACTCTTTTTAACCTCCATCCTACCCTTAACCTATGCTCTTTATACAACAGACAAGCTAGACCTTTTTTTCATTTTTTGATAGAATGTACAATTTTAGCTGGATTCAGTGTCATTTTACCCATGATAACAAGAGAATCTTAATTTCTTCTTTAAATAATCCTCATTGTTTTGGTTCAGTAAATTGTATGAAGAAAGACTGAAGCTATAGAAGAGAATTAGTTTCTTATGCTAATTATTGAAGCTTCGGTTATTTTATCAATTTATTATACATCCCTTCACATTTAACTTTAATAACAACCATTGGCCATAGTGTGCTTTTTTGTACTAAAAATATTTTTCTTATTTGTTTATTGAATAAAGAAGTTTTTTATTCATTCATTCCATAATTAATAATACAACAGATTCTTTTGAAGATTTTTTATTAATTTATGAAAAAATCAATAAATATCTTACCAAAACATCTATGAGAAATAAAACATTAACTATTCATAATTGTATCTTTTTTAGGTTGTGTCTTTGCTGAACTCATACGGGGCGAAGCACTTTGGCCTGGAAAATCAGATGTCGATCAGCTTTATCTTATCCGAAAATCATTAGGTATGTGCCTATGAAAATTATAAACAATGTATTACCTATGTATATATCACGTTTTCAAAACAGCATTCAAAATTCCAATGCTGGTAAAATTCAAAGCACATGGAAGCAGTAGTAAAAATGACAATCATATATCAAATAAAAAGAGAAAAATGTACAAGATAATTGTGACCTTAGTATCTTGTCTATAAAGTTTATATATTGTATTCACTATAGATTGTTTTGCTAAATCTTTTAACAGTAAGCAAACGAAATATTTTTAATGATAGGCTATTATCTAACATTTTCAGGAGACCTTATTCCGAGGCATATGCAAATATTTAGAGCAAATGAATTCTTTAATGGAATAACCCTTCCTCAGCCTGAGAAAATTGAACCGTTGGAATCTAAACTGCCTAGGCAAGCTCAATCAGACCCAAATACGATTGACTTTTTAAAGGTAAGTATTCTTTGGACTTATAATTTACATGGCCCTGCCTTTGTGAGTCCAAACATTAACATTGAGAGTTTCTTTCTGTCTGACGAATCTGTAGTTTGTTTTTTTCAAATTATTTATGGTTTGTCAGACACTATTTTGGCTCCGTCGTACTCTTTATTCATGGTCGATCGGAAATGAACAAATTACAAATCATCGTCTATCATTGGCTGGAGAAAGAAATGAATAAATATATTTTTTACTGTTAGCATGGAAGGTGAAAAATTGCCTCTCTGTTTCAGAAATGTTTAGATAAGGAACCTTCGAAAAGATGGAATGCCGAAGAGCTCCTGAGGCATCACTACTTTGACCATTACCACTTTAAAATGCCAGATTTGGAAATGGAAGAGTTTGAAAAACTGAAAAAACATAGGGATAAGTCTCGAGTAAGAAAAATTCATAAATGTGCAATTTGTAATGTAAATAATAGTATTGACAATATTTTTGAGCCCATGCAACTAACGAAAAAGAAAATACCTGATGCACTAACTGCATTGGAAAAAATAAAAAAAAGGGCATTACTTTATGCCCATTTTCAATTAGATAATTTATTAAAACATTTGCAATACTTGAAAATGTCTGTATGATGGTAAAGGCCTGGTGGGCCAGGGTGGACGAGTGGTTAGGGCATCCGGTTCGTATTTGCCACCCTAATGGTCCTGGGTTTGATTCTAGGTATAGCCTATGGTATTTTATTTGAAAATAAATTGATAAAAGTATTGTAAAGTGGTTCTGATTGATCAACCACGACATTAAGTGGTAGTTGGACTTTCAACCATTCTTTATCAAAGGAATTACTTTTTTAAATTAATAAGGATGAGTGCGATCTATGTATATAGGTATGAATGTATTTATTGGTGTGATTGTGTACCGAGTGTGTAGCGGTATTTTGTTAGTGCTTCGGGGCTGAAATGACCAACCTGTTGGATGCCCCTGTCCAAAAAATAAAAATAAAATAAAATAAAAATAAATAAATAAAAATAAAATAATCCAGATTGTTAAAAGTAAATCAATTGCATGCCATAATATAAAACTTATTTGTTAACTTCTCACAAATTTTTTTTTTAGAATTCGAGTTCAACTGTAATTAGTGTTGGCGGAGCATTACTACCATCATTGGCGAGTAATGGCCCTAGCCCAGATTATTCAAGATCGCAGGGAAGCAATCATCGGCATACTTTTGATCACTTACCTGACATCTGACGAGGACATCGATAACATATGACTAATCAACAAATCAAAATTTTCAAAGTAAACCTTCGGTAATTACCATTGGATAACTTATAATCGATTTTGGTATAAAAATTTTTATTGGCTAGTCTGGTCAAAAAATTCGTAGAAAAACGTGATATTTGGTTGAGATGTTTGGTAATTTTTAAAATTTGTATTCTTTGAGTGATCAATGCGAATTATCACTGCAAATTTCATGAAATTCTTTTGTATTATTAATTTTAAAAAAAACAACCAGGCTACACAAATTTTGGAAATTAATTTAAACAAATGTAATAAGAGAAATAAATTTTTTCTAATATCTGATCAGTAGGTTATTTCATTTTAAATATTGATTTTTACTTATGGTTTATGTATCAAGGAGATTATTAAAAAAGAATTTTATTTTTGTACTACTAAAATACATAAAAAGGCCATTGTTCAATTGATGGATAAAACTGTTTCATTATATTTCAGTTTTATTATTCTGGCCATTTATAGTTCCTATATCTTACAACTCTGGTCACCTAATGTCTGATACACTGCCATTACCGATCAAAAATAGGCCATAGAAAAATTCTACATAAAACTCATTAATAATTGATATTTTGATGAAGTTTTTCAAGGCTCAAATTTAATTAGAATTATTTAATAGATTTCATTTGCTTCTACTATATAAATCAAATGCCTCCTGTTGAAACATGGGTGGTCACATGGGGTACAAAGTCACCCCAGCCCATTTTATTAAATTTATTTATATTTCTGTAGGTTTATAACGAACAAATTGTGTAAAAAACAAATCTTACACATAATTAAAATATATACAAACAATATCTGAGATATATATCAATTGACTGTTGACAGTTTTATGTTAGAATAAAGTAAGAAGTGTCCGAAAAAAGTAAAAGATAAGTATGCATACTTGATTGGAAAAAGTATTAAAATAAATGGCAAAAAAACTTAAATGATAAGCCATATGGGGTACTTTTGTACACCAACGATAGTTTTCCTTGTGAGTGCAATAACACTCCACGGATAACCACCTGTCACCCCGTCCGACCCTTTCCTATAGGTTATTTTTCAAGTAGAATAAGGCTAGGGGGTTTAGTTTTGTTAACTCTGCAAGATGTAAGAAAAACAAAGCTCTTAGGTGCAAAACTACCCCAGTGCGACCGCTCGAAGGTTAAATAAAACGGAGGAGGGCCAGTGAGACATTTCATGTTATTATTTTGTTAATTATTAATAATATTCATTTACTGTTAGGGCCTTCATTTTTCTTTTTATGTAAAACTATAAAAAAATGATTTAGTTAGGTTGAAGTGGTATTTTAAAGACCACTGAAAATGTCTCAGTAAAAGTCAAAAAACCAGTTCTAAAAAAATGAAATAAAAATAATAATGATAATATTAATAATACAAATTGTGGGAAGAAGACTTCTTCTTTTTTAAATATAATTTCAACCTATGAATATTGGATTAACAAAATATTAACAACCCAGAACTTTTTCATAGTTCAGTTGTTTAAATAAATTTTAATTATTTTTTCTCAATAATTTTAGCTATTTTTCATTGATGTACGTAATTATATTGGATATGCACTTACTTTCTTGTCTTTAAAGTTATGGAAACATATATTTTTTTAATAGTAATCTCATTGTGCATGAGAATGGACTGATTGCAATTTACTAAATAGTTAACTAATTTGCTGCTTTTTTTAAAATGTCAAATTAATGCATGTCAGAATTAAGTGGCTGAATTATGCTGTTTTTCCTGGATCCATTGCAATATTTGTCTATCATTCGTGAGAAACCTTACAAAATTGGTTACTAATTACCGTTCTGTTTGTTGAAAACGTCATATCAGCAATTTCCTTCTTTGATTAAATAATTTGTATTATTCTGTGCACGGTGTGTATAAATATATTGATTTCATGCCAATTTAATTTGAATTATACCCAGATTAAATATCGGCGATTCTACGTGAGAATCTGGATAAAATTCTATTTTGTAAATTCATCATTATCACATATGGTGATGAAGATACTAGAAAGTCAGGGGGGTATTTCCCAAGCACTGTGGCTTTTTGGCTTAATCCCTAGTTCCTTCAGTTCAATTGATTCTTCTTTTTAGAATTAGTAGGTCATTGAGTGTCATTCTTTTTCCTAGGTTATCTTGGTATCCTATGTTGTATGTGCATTATATATACAGATATTGTCATTACTAGTTGCTCCTTTATAAATAATAGGATGAGATTTATCAGTTCATATTAAATTTTTTTTCTTCTTCCAAGGCCGATGAAGAGGCAGTTCAGCCAATAGACTTTTTTAAAAATTAATTTCTTTGTGTTCTGGCTTTTCGGATATTTGTTTTGGAATTGAAATCATTAAATCTTGCACCCTATAAAAAAAAATCCTTAGCCCATGGAATGTCATGAATGTCATATTTAACATGGAATGTCATGAAATATGGCTAAAAATGTAGGAAAATAAAGAATTATAGTCATTACATTGAGAACATTTGTAGGCACAAAATGTTTCCTAAATATTTTGTACTAACAAGAAGTGAATATTCTACTTACTGGTGGAATAACTGAGGAATGTGATCTCTCCTGATCAGAAAATCATGGATCATTCAACTTCTAAATAATCAAAATATTTTTATTTTTGTTGCAAATTCCACCTTGCTTATAATCAATTTGAATAGGATATTTTTGAAGTTTGGGTTTTATTCACCATAAAAGCTGGTATGGTGGATAAACAAAATGTACCAACTGTCTTAAAACAGTTTGTTTTTAACTATTATTATTATTAAATGCAATGTCAAGTGCCTTTTAAAATTTAGCGAGCTTTTTTGCATTTAAACTTCACCAACTGTTTAGTTTTTGTTTTTAATTAAACAGCTACTTTAAACAATGCATTTTTAGCTAGGGGAAAAGCAGAAGACTGAGTAGAAATATCAATTTTTTTACATAAATATTATTTACAGTTTACGAAATTGAACAGATTCAATATTCTGTACCTACAAGACAATAACTTAATTTGTGTGTTTGCTTGTATGCATGTATGTGACGGTTAGAGAATAAAAGAGTGAGACTGAGTAAGTGCTTACAATAGTGTAGTTAATAGTAAATTGAATTGTTAGATTTTTTTTATGTTGGTTCATTTTGTTATCCTTGATGTAGTGTATTTTAAAATAGGACTGAACGTTTGGAAACCACCTCGATAAAATTTCAATAAAAAAAGATCAAAAATTGTGGCACAAAAACATGGGGAATCATCTCAACAAATGAACTCAAAATCGATTAATTTCAGTCTAAATTTAAAGTTCAATCAAGTTTCACTTTGTAAAAAAAGTCTTGTGACAGAAGAATTGAAAATAAATTAATTTAAATAATAATTATTTAAATTTTAAAAACCACTTCTAATTAAGGTTTAAAGATGTTTCTTGTTTTCAAAAAGTCTACTTTTTACTGTTACATTAAAAATAAAATATTAATATTAATGATGTCCTAGATGAATAATCAATCAACCCAGGTGGTTTTTCCATTATCTTAATATTTGCAATTAATTGTTCAACTTATTACCTATATCATCACACTCTGTAAACTTTAACAATATTTGTTTGGCTACAGACCCGATTTGAATTAAATTAAATCATAAAGGGATTATATTACAGAATGTGTAATTGGTTCTTGCTGAAATGTCTCGTTTCAACTTAATTTAAAGTTTACAGTATATTATTATGTACTTAATTTTATGAGGGACCAAATTTTTGTAGAAACAGATGTACATAGTTATGTTTAAACAAAATTGATATTTATGTGTAAGTATAGAAGAATATTTAAATTGTAAGTAGGTTATGTTCTAATAAATGTGATACTTGTTATATATGTATATGTAGTTGTACAGAAATAAATAAAATTAATAAACGTGTATATTAATAAGTTGATTTATCTTATAATTTTTTTACCACCATCTTTTTCTGAAAAAATCAAATGGAATCACAAGTTTAACCAATTATTGTAATTCTAACACAGCTATGAACCAAAATGATGGAAATGAACAAATTACAGGTTAATCACAATTATTACACAGATGAATCCAGAATGAATTGGTATCGCCACTTTATGGAATTATCAATAAATAAATAAATAAAAATAGAATAAAACAAAAGAAACAGAGAACCAATTGGCCATTATTATTATTGGCAAAAAGGAGGGAAAATTCAAAAGGTGGGGTTGGGATGGGAAGTTAGTCCGAGTGGATTGAGGTCATGATAGTTCAAGTGGGAGAGCGGCGGCGTATCTAGCCGAAGATCGTGGGTTCGAATCCCGCTCGTGCCATTGACTTTTTTTATCTGAACTAAAAACCTTAATTAATTGTAATGTATTAATTGGTCAAGCGGACCACGAAATTAGGGAATTATTATTATTATTTGATACACAATGTAAACAAATACTTGTTCTTAATTTTACCTTATATGATTTTTAACTGCTTTGACCATTTCACGCAAATCTGTTTTCAAAATTTCATAGAGGATAAGCTTTAAGGACTGGTCTATTGTGCAATCTCTCTCATTACCTAGAGCTTTTTGTTAAGCTTAAGGCTTTTAACCAATTCCAAAGCTTTGTTCCATGTGGACTTTAGAGCAAGCAGTAGGAATTTTCGCCTGCATGGCCTTTGAAACAGACATGTTGGGCAGTTTCATTTTTCACAGGCTCTTATACACGTCTCTGGAGTCTGAAGTGTCCAGTCAGCAGTCCTACTATCATTCTAGTCTTAAAACGTTCTTCAAATAGTGCTGTTGTTAGTTTCTGCCGTGGATCTTTAGTGAACTGTTAAGCATGCCTGCCCCATCGAACTGAGAATTTATTCTTAACCCATGATCTTATGGATCTATATTTTTGGCAGTTGGGTATTGAACTTTCCTTGCCCAGTTTATCAGCCTCCTCGCTGCCCTTTTGCCGGTCATGCCCTGGTTCATGAGTAATTTTTGTTGTTGTCCCCACTGACAGGGCCTTGATGAAGTCCCAAATGGCTCTAGGCGTTAAGGTGGGGCTCCCAAACTGTGGTCCGCATCGAGCTTCGAGAAAATTTAATAATTACAAAAATTAACATAGAATGAATAAATACAATAAAAAAGCTAATAACAATGAGTACTGAAAGTTTTTAATTTTTATTTATTCATTCTCCGTTTATTTTTGCACATGTATGCAAAATAGCTATGGTAAGTGAGATGTACAGGACTAGACTGGCTGGTTGATCGGTTTCCTACTCCTAGGAATTTCATTGTTAATACTGGGGTCCTTCATTACCGGGAATGAGGGCGTTTTGATGTGCACAACTCGTCCCAATCCATTGTTACAGCTTCCTTAGGCCGACGCCACACTATACGAAGTTTTCGCGACGGAAATTTCCGCTGCACAAGCTTACATTCGACATACACAGCCAGCGACAGACTGAACGGAAAATTTAGTGCACCAGCGTCCGTCGACGGAAAGTACAAAAGCAAAGTACATGGGGTGTGCCACACTGACGACGAACAAGCGTAGAACGGAAGAGGTAGGCAGTGGGGCACACAAACTGCAAGTGAAGCTGATCTAGGATGGACTTGGACCTATTTTTAGTGACTGGAAGTTTTGTGGCCCTGAAAAGGGCCGATGTTGTGTAGAGATGCCGTGACGATGGTATGTGTCCGAGTGGTGCCGTTGGTAGTGTTGTGCGACTGAGTAACCGTTGGCTAAGGTCCGGGGGACCGTGAGTCGGTTGACTCCACAGAGGCCGAAGGTACTGGAGTGCAGCAATTAGCCGAGGGGCGGCAGTTGGCGTTAATGGCCAAGTCGGCTGACGGGTCTGAGATCGTTGAATATTAGTGATTGGTGAGATCTCGTCGGGTTGACGAGTCTGCCGTTACATTAGTGATGGTTGAGATCACGTCGAGCTGACGACTGACGCGTCTCATTTCAGTGACCCTGCTTATACAGGGAAGAGCTCCACGCTGATTGGCTGCAGAGTGGAGGGCGACAACGTTCCATAAGTCGTAGTGGCATCTAACGGTAAGGTGTTGTAGCTACAAGTGGCCACCACATATTTATTGTGGAAGTTCTATAGTCATCCCATAGAATTGGACGAACTTGACAGGATAGCGTCGAAGTTCCCCATACACGCAGTGCAATTGACCAAGTGCTACCCTCTTCATATTCAATGGATGAATCCAATGTTCTCTCTTTCTCTTCTGCTTCTCCGTTGCCTTGTAAATACACAAAATGAAAAGTTGTTTCATTGTACCGTGCATGATCAACTGAGACACGTTATCATCTGCATATCCAAACAGCCGTGGAAGTCATTCCGTTCATTTCCGCTGTATAGTGGTTATGTGGCTTGTTCGGGTTGGGCGGATTTTTCGTCGCGAAATTTCCGTCACGAAAACTTCCGTCGCATTCCGTCTACTGTGACTGCACCCTGCACGTACGTTGGCGGTAGCTCACTGGCGAAGGGAGGGGGACGTGTTGAAGGGGAGACAAGTGATGTCTCTCTCACTCTCTTTCTCTCTCTCTCTCTCTCTCTCTCTTTAGATGTAAGAGTGGTCCTCGAGACCAAATCTTGAGAGATTATGTAAATAAAGCGATATCAATCAATCAATCAATCTGAAGCACGAAAATACGGTGGTGGTAGATTCAGGAGGACTTACAGGGCAGCGAACTTATTACAGAACAACAAGGAAGATGGTTGTGCTTATCCTGTAGAAGCATGACAACGTACATCAATGAACTTTTTACTCGATTAATTATTGAACTGCTTAAAATATTGAAAAATTTGACGGGAAATAACTCTAAAATTGATTTGTTATTTCGAGAGGAATTTCAACATACTTTAATAATTAATTAGTACAACATTGTTTAAAATAATTATTATATGGCCAGTAATAACACACAGTAGCATGTGAGTTTTAATTTCCAGTTTATAGACTATAATAAATACACTTTTCTATGATCAGATTTAATTTCCACTTTATCCGCGTAAAGTTGAATGTTTGGTATGATTTGAGGAAAGCAGTTAAATAATAAAAACAACGAGTACGTGGAATGTTTATTCAAAATATGAACAATTTTTTGCAATTATGTNTATTTATTGATTAAATAATGAAAAAGATTACTAATTAAATAATAATAGTAAAAAATAATTTGTGCGAGAGATGCACCTCAATAAAATCGAAGGAACTTTCATCAGTAATACATAATAAGTACAACTTGTACCACAATAATTATACCCTGTCGTTATTTATTTATTTGATGAAACACATTAAAGAGGGTACAACAATATTGAATGTAAGTATTAACATTATTTCGTAATTATTAAGGCAAGCATGAAACAAAATCTGACTAGTAATTTTATAATAAAAATAAAATAAAAAACTAATAAGACAGAAATTCGTACTAGGTTTCTACAAAAGAAAAAAAAATAATACACAATACGAGCGAAGGCTAGTATAAAAATTATTACAAAAATTTGGTTCAATAATCTTTGGAAATCACGTGTCGAACGTTTATTAAAAATATAAATACAATTATTAAAGAAATGTTTAAAAAATAAATAATTATTATGATATATTAGTACATTGGATAATAAATACACTTCAGAACCGGGCGTTTTGTCCTTTCACCCATCTGCCAGGACATTTTGGACGATTGGTAAAACAATTTTTTTTTTGTAGAATTTATCTTTAATTTAACTTACACAACTAGGGAATTGAATCGAGCTTTGTCGCGCACCGGACGCTATTGTGAACAGTCCTTTTATCACAAAGAACTGTCTTAATGATCACAAGTACTCCCTGAAATGACAACTTGAGCAAAAGATAATAAATGCTTAAAAGTGAAACATGGAGATTTTTACAACTCCTCATTTAACGGTAAAAAATACTTATTTCATATTACTTCAGAACAAATTCTTTCAGCAATAACAATTCTTTTTTCAGGACAGCCATTAAATAACTAATACTAACATTAAAACAATATTAACTATTTTACAGAACAATTTACTATTCAGAAAATACCAGTTTTATAATAAACGATTAAGCTTAATTTCTGGATATATGGACGAAACAATTAATTAAGGATCGACATGTAGGATTCTATACTAAGTATTGCTTACCGCAGTATGTTTTCATTTTGACTTTACAGTCTTCTTTGACCTGCAATTTCTTTCTAAGTATCCAGGCTGAGATTGATTTTTTCACTAGAAAAAGCAGCCAAAATATTGTGTGGATCAAGACAACGAGGACAACCCCTTCAACGACGAACACAAAGCAGCTACCTGGGTAATGCCAATCCACGACCTTGTAAATATAATCTCTACCAAATCTGAAACGAAAGTTCAATTAAAAAAATTAAAATACTGTCTTGCAATGTTACTCATGTCTCAACCTAATAAGATAAATAATCGGTAATTATTTTGAGATGTTTAATTGAAAACATCCAAAAGATATTGGTTAATCTTTCAGTAGAACAATAAATAATTCTAATTTAATTTACAATGTTTTTGGCTTGATCAACTTTAATAAATAAATATATTTTTAAAAAATGTAATGTAACAAAAAAATATTTTCAATTTTTTTAAGAAATTGTACTGCAGCGTTATCCACAAAGTATCTATAAAACAATTATGGCCCCCAAAAAATACTATTAAGCATGCACTAATATGGTGCAAATGTAATTTGGTGTTGGATGGCTATAAATGTAATAAAAACATAAACAACTTTTTCAAATTGCATAATTATGGGCTGACAAAAATGTTCTTCTGGTGTATCACAGAAAATTATAACCATGAAAAACAACACTCAATAACCACTAAAAAACCAAATATAAATTATATTCTTGGGTAAAAAAAGTTTTTTGCTTCTTCTTGCGTGTCCCCTAAACCAAAAAAACAAAGTAGTTGGTAGTTTGGCAAGTTTCGCAACAACATTAAACAGTTTAAATTCACTAATTTCGTGGTCCGCTTGACCAATTAAATCATTACAATTAATTAAGGTTTTTAGTTGAGATGAAAAAAAAGTTAATGGCACGAGCGGGATTCGAACCCACGATCTTCGGCTAGATACGCCGCTGCTCTCGATAGTGGATCGAGGTCATGATAGTTCAAGTGGTAGAGCGGCGGCGTATCTAGCCGAAGATCGTGGGTTCGAATCCCGCTCGTGCCATTAACTTTTTTTCATCTCAACTAAAAACCTTAATTAATTATTAAACAGTTTATTCACAAGGCCCAATCAAGCATGAAAGACGTGTCAATGAATCTTTCTATGACCAAAACGGTTCATGTCAACAATCTCTTCCAGTTTTAAGTTCCAAAAAGCAAGCTGAAAAACACGTGCTTCTGTCTTGAGACTTCTTCACTCAAATACTCTGATAGGCAAAAAATTCCACCCAATTGATTTGTTTAAAATTTTCTCGATGAAAGAAAATCCTGCCCTTAATTTGTCTCATTGTTTTTATCAATAAATATTTGTTTATGCGATGTTTTAAATTGGGAATATCAATTAGAGGTAAACATACTTAATCCGTAATCCAAAACAAGAATAACGGATTTTTCAATGTTTACTTTTTACGGAATTTAAAATTTTTATTCAGTCTCATTTGAAATCTGAAACAATAAACTGTTTAGTTTTCATCTTTGTTGTCTTAATTTCAATTTTTAAACTTCAAATTGCCACTTAGTGCTGAAGATGTTGCGCGTGGTGTGGCACTTATTGATGATGGACGTTCCAACAGGTATGCCGGGGATAGTGCCATCGGAGTTGCATATGAAACTCTGCGAGACGCCGTTAGACGTTTTCGAGGTCCTTCCATAGAAGACCCGGTTCTCGACGCCCTAGGGTAACAGAACTACAGAATAAACGTTTTTAGACTTTGAGAATTTGGCGAAACCGGCATCATACTGTTATTCAACCGATTCATGAGCTCCAGGAGGTGAATTTCAGAACGCACTGCTCGAAGAAGATTAAATCAGTATGGACTGATGGCTTTTCGCGTCGTAAGAGGACCAGAATTGACCAGAACACAGCGTTGCACGGTTCGCTTTTGCTCGAGAACACAGCCATTGGTCTTTGGTCGATTGGTCTGCTATATTTTTAACAGATAAGTGTAGATTTGCTCTTCGATCTCCAGATGGTGTGGAGAAGGCAAAATGAAAGGTATAAAGCCTGTAATTTTTCCCTGAGCCAACCTTTTCAACGTAGCTCAGTGATGGTGTGTGCAGGAATCTCAATGGTGAGTCGCCCATAGTTGGTTGTTGTTTCTCGGAGGGTCTTTGACGCCACTCGCTATGTGGATGACATTTTGGAACATCATGCGTTGCCTATCCTCGATGAAATCAACGACAATCCTATTCCTGCCTATTCTATCGCTCACATAGTACAAACCTACCTTCAACAGCATAACATCAGGGTTATATCCTGGCCAGCCCGATCTCCAGACTTGAACCTCATCGAACATTTATGGGATAACCTCAAATGACTAATCCACGTCCACCACTTCCTGATACGCTCCACGAAGAGAAATGACCTAACCTCTAGCAAAGAGACATTTCCAGACTGATAGAAAGTTTGCCGAGGCGTCTTCGAGATGTAATTAAAGCAAGAGAAGGAAATAGACGCTACTGAAATGTTAATTAAAAATCTAAAACACAAAACAAATGTTATCTGTCCTTTTGTTCATTTTCCTTAGCAATTTACATTTTTTTAAAAACTGTTTAAGCCAAATACTCAATTATTAAACGTTAAAAAAGGTTTAACTTGAGAATCCTGGAACTTCAGAAAATTAACGTTACATTTTTAGACTATGTATTTGCCATGTTTTATTAACATCATTATGTTTTTAAGCTGGAAACACAATTTATTTTATGTGATTGATTTCGTGTTACCAGGGGTTGGGTTAGGTTAAGTTAGGAATGTTTAGGCTAAGGTACGGTAAAATTACGGACGGGTCGGGTTAGGTTAGTGCGAATGAATGTAAACACTGTCATAAATTTATGGACATACTACCAATAATTGTCCGAATAAGGAGTTAAGTGCAAATCGTGGCAAGCCAGTGCATCAAAACGCTGATGAATTGCCGAAAAATTGTGTAAACTGTAATGGTAACCACTCAGATACCTCGCGCACGTGCCCGAAATACATTGAAGGGTTTCATAAAAATATCCTTTGAATAGAAAATAAGTTTAGAAGATGCAAAAAAAGAATATAAAAAATTACTAGTAGAAATGATAAATGATGGAGTGAGTGCGGTGTTCAATCCTTTTAAAAAGATAATTCCTACTCACAGTAAGTTGTTTTGCAACGATCCGGAGTTCGAGCTTTTAGCTCATCATCAGGTTGAAAGAGTTCTACAACCACGTCTCTCGACATGAATCGGAAAAGTGAACCCGCCGATACCCCCGCCAACTCGTCGTTCCAATGAGAAGCTGGTTTTTTAATGGCGCTCAATTTTGAAGTGCGAAAAGCGGGAATTATTACACAAGTAAATATTATATTGATAAATACTGTAAGAAATTAACTCTAAATTAGTGATTAAAGATAAAAGATAAAAAATTAGAATAATACCTTGATATCATTAAATTATTATAAAAATAATAACAATTAAAATAATTGATTTAATTATCTGGAGGTTTACATAATTATTTATGCACATATTTAAAATGGAAGGTAGATCAAAATGGATTATATTATTAATGCATTTATCTCCATGTTCAATTTTACATTTTTTATTTTCAAATTTCTCAGACCAATGTAGTTCTCTCCCTTGGTTGGAACTATGCAACACTGTTGTATTTAAATTTGAACTGAATTTATGTTTTGCTTCTTTTAAATTCCAAAAATTTGTTCGATTTAGGCCAGTGTTCTTTAACTCTCGTTTTTATTTCTATCTATATATTAAATATCACAATCATTACAATTAAATTGGTAAACCCCGCATTTTGCTGTCTACCTCTCCTTAAGTTTTGAGAGGATGTTTTTAAGTGAACCCGTACTTCTAAAAGCTATTCTAAAATCTTCTTGTTTAAAAATTTTACTAACTTTTTCCGATAATTCACCAATTTATGGCAAACAACGGAAACCTAATGATTCATTAGTGGTGGGGTAGCTGAGTCCTATTGCTGCTTCTTTTAAAGCTAATTTTTTAATTCTTTTATTAACTAGCAACCTATCAATAAATATTTCTAGAAATCCATTGTTTTTTGCTAAGGTTTTAATAGTTTCTAGTTCTTTTTTATAGTTAGCAGGTGTTAATGGAAGTTTTAACATCTGTCTATGAGCCAAATGAAACCAGCAGCCTTTTGGGACCATGGGCGGGAAGAATCCGCTGCTATGATAGTGTCTGTAGTTTCTATATACGTCTATTTTAATTAGGTTGTTTATTATGGATAATTTTAGGTCTAAAAAGTTCAAAAACCATCTTTATTAATTTCCAATGTAAACTTTATATTACGGTGTAAAGAATTAATTAGTTGGAGGGATTCTTTAGATCCTCTAATGTTCCCGACCATATGCATAAAATATCGTCTACATAGCGTTTCCAAAAATGAACAGATTTAATTAATTTGTTGTTTGATTTGAAAAGATTTTTTTCGAAATTACCCATGAACATTTCGGCACAAAGTGGGGATAATGGAGACCCTCATTGGTAACCCTTTCATTTCGTAAAATTTATTATTGAATTTACAATAATTAAACAGTAGACATATATTTAAGAGGTCTATTATATCATTTTTTACAAATTCGTAATAGAAATCTCCATTTTAATTTCTTCACTTTTGCATTCATTACGGATTCATTTTTGCAATTCATGTCAAGAGACGTGGTTGTACGATAGAAATCCTTCAACCTGATGATGAGTTAAAAGCTCGAAATCCGGATCGTCGGAAAACAACTTACTGTGAGTAGTACCTAAAACGGATTAGGTTAGGTTAGGCTAGAGGTTTTCCATATTTTTGCATTAATTATGGGAAAATGATTTATATCCAATCCTCACCTGTTTTTTCCGCCGAAAAACGAGTAGACCCAATTGAAAGCTGTATAAATCAGAAGGAAGGCGGACGGATAAATGCAGTGGGTGAATTTGAGCGGATGAGCGACGAGTAGAAAGTCCAAAATCATGAGAATGGAATTGACCAGGTGTACTAAAATGTTCATGGTATCGATCACGTGTAACTCTGAAAAAATGAAGAAAACGTTAAATTCATTTCAACCGTCCAGAAATAACTAGTTGGTAAATTTATTTCACATTGAAGCAGAATGTTTTTTTTAAAATGTTTTTAAAGGCCTAGACTGGGAAAGATCTATTTATACCAGGCTTACGAACTTTTTGAGTGTCTTTTTGAATAAAGTCAAGTAAAGCTAGCTGAATAACCGTTTCTGGATAAATTATGTCCACAATTTTTTCCGGCCATAGAACTAGATTTTTTTATTGTTCTACTCATTCAAACATTACAAAAACAGATTGAGATAATATATAATTCAATTAATTAAGGTTTTAAGTTGAGATAAAAAAGTCAGTGTCACGAGCGGGATTCGAACCCACGACCTTCGGCTTGATACGCCGCTACTCTACCACCTGAGCTATCGTGACTTCGATCCACTCGGGCACTAACCTCCCACCTCAACCCCTTTTTATCAAATTAAAACCTTAGTTAATTTAATGATATTAATTTGTCAAGTGGACCACGAAAAATAGTGAATATAATAATATATAAACAACATTTTATAGTTCACAGTTTTCAACAATAAAAATTACCACTTCGATAAATAATTGCAATCAAATTTGCTAGAGGTATGAGTATGGAAATTAGGATTTATGATTATTTTGGAAGTTGGTTCTTCTCCAGGGTGTTACCTAAATGTACATGAACCCATTAACTAACGGCATAGTGAACTACTCTTTTGTTTACATAATTTGAAGTCAATATTTACATAGGGTAATTATATATTCAAATTGTGTAACCCACGCAAGTCATTTGCAATTATAATATCGCAATGAAGGACAAATTGCAGCTCTTGTGAACTACTTATTAATTGAAATTTTGTCTTTCAGTAATATCTCGAATTGCAATATAAGAAAAATGTTCTTTGGAATTAAATCCCAATAGAATATGATATGAACCAAAATCCAAAAGACAAGTAAAACAAAACATCGAAGACATTGAAGCTCTTTTCAGAAGGCTAATGTTGGAGCAATATAAAAAGAGTCAGCATCTATCCTCTCTCTGCTTATAATCCTCCCCGGCTTGCACACATTTATCCCATTGTAGAAAATAAACTAGCTAATAATCAAGCAAAGGTTTGGTAAGATATAAGAACACTGGCTCCCAGAGGATACATGTCTTGCGATATAAGGCTGACAATCTCGCGCTGAAGGATTAAGGGTAGGTCTCTAGGCTAACGTCGCTCGTTTAAGTCGACATGAAGGATTCTGACTATGGAAATATTAGCGAGGAAGGACAATGAGACCAAAGGTTCAAGAAGAGGGAATGAATGGGAATGTCGATGTTATTGTGGATAGTGAGGAGAGACGACTGGAGAATTCTTCTGAGCATTTTTGATCGGAATGCTTGAATACGATGGATATTGGATGGCTTCTCGGTCCACGGTTCTGCTCCGTCCAAATGGGTTGAGTTATTGTTTTGCAGTGTGTTTGTTTCTTACAGTCATGATTTTCGGCCCTAGCAATTTTCTTAGTCGTCCAAGTCTTCTTTTCAGTCATCGCTTAAATCCAGTTGTAGGGTTCAGGAGGACTGCTGTCTGTAGTCTTCAATATTTCACCTGTGATTAGGTGTTGGCGTATAGTCAAGCTCTTGCTTAAGTTTTTTTTAACTTGATGCATTTGTTCATTTTTTGCACATTTCTGTGGTAAGAAGTTCTTCGATATAGGCAGTGGCTAGTATTGGAATGGATCAGGTCAGTAGATAAATTTGTACAGTTTGGGCTAGTCGTTCTTGACCCTTAAAGAATGACAATCTAGTACTAAATTGTTGTTATTATAACTAGCCAGATGGCATTAACGAGTGTGATAAACTTGGGAACGGCTTCAGGTCGACCAGCATATCGGGTGGATGAGGCATTCTTGTCCCCGATGTCGCCACATGTCTCCCGGTTACATGGCGACGAACATACGACGGGCTCCCTACTGCCCCGAGACAGGGGATTCCACGACCTTTGTTCAAGATCATTCGAGCCATGTGCAGCTACGGACACATTGATCTGATTCCCTTACTCGAAAACACCGAACCACTATTACGCCAGAGGCGATATGGGAAAGTGTTCTGTCTTATACCAGACCCGTACGCAGGGATTTTAATCACCCAGCGCTAACTGAAGTTCAAAGCGGAGCTACGACACGAATTCAGCACCCATGAGAAGTTATATCTACTAGATTTGACGACAGTTACCCCGCAGTCGACTTCACCCGGCCTACCATACATACGAACACATCCAGGTTGGAAGAAAGGCGAGGATTACGTTACGGCCGCCAAATTAGAGCTTATAAGCCGTTAAGCAGCCCGTACACCCTTTGCCTGATTGCGCCGCATCCGCCAGAAGTCATATATCTAATTCAGACGTCAACAAAGTTTGTGCAGTGTGGGCCTACCCAATCTCAGCCATTGTTGGAGAGGCTTGCTTTGCCCATCCATTTACACAAGAGTTAATTGCCCAGTGCTGCGGACATCATACCGCATATGGATGTGAAATGCTTAAAGGAGGTATGGAATGGGCCCAGGTCCAGGCTGCCCGGGCTAAACACATTGATCCAGGATGCGCCTTCTTAATGACGGATTACAGTTCTTTCGACTCAACCTGCATGGCTAATCCGAGAAGCATTTGCAATTATTCGCGACAAGTTCTCCTTCTATTATCTGCAGAATGCAAAGGGAGACTTAGTACCAGTGGCAGACCCAACCGGACTTGAGAACCAGTGGAGGAAAGTTGTTAACTATTTCATTAATACACCAGTTAGATCGTGTCTTGGTGACAGAATTCAGACCGACCATGGCGTGCCATCCGGTAGTATGTTTACCAATCTTGTGGACAGTATCGTTAACATGATTGTGAGTAGATTTATCGTGCGTACCAAATGTGGAGCGATACCGATACAGTTTGGTCCCAAAAATGTACCCTAGTGGAACACTGGTTTTGATCGGTTTTATCTCTCTCCCAACCAGAGTAAGAGGGCAGACAAGAACCATGATTGACAATGTGGAAGTAGAAAGGCCGAAAGTGTTGGTATTTCAGATAATTTTGCCCAAACCGTCGATGTTACTGTAAAAAACAAAACTACTGTTCAAGAAATCCAGATTTATTACTTGATATTAGTGGAATCTCTCTCAACTGAAAAACAGAAAGACGTTTTCGATGTTAATAATTAGGAAGTTAATTCCATATTCGAGGTTTTTTTTCCAGATTTTTAGATTCTACTTTAACTATTACCTAGTTAAAAAATTGAAGGTCACCTCACAAAATAAGCCATGATGGATGATCAAGGGCATTAATAAACCTTCCAGAACAATAAAACAATTTTACCATAATTACGAAGACTCAGACTCAAGGATCGGATAAAATACAAGAAAAGTAGATATACAGAAGGGTTATTAAGGCCGTAAAGAAGATTCACTATGTATCAAGAATCAACAGTAGTTAAAGCCCCTGTAAAGAATCGTGGAAAATGTGTTGAATGAGGAGTTTAAAAGTGAAAAATTAAAAAAATGATTGCACTTATTTAAAATATTGAAATGGTTAACAATCCTAGTATAATTCCGTTCATATTCTTTGATGGGTTGAGGTTGCCTAACAATGAAAAGGATTCTGATTGCTCTTAAGCTTCAAAAGTAGTTCAACATCAAAAATATTTAAAAAGAATCATTGCAGCACCGATAAATAAAACATGTAGTTTCGATATGAAGAAGAGTTAGAAAAAGAAAAAGGAAAAATACAACTTTTCAGGAAACAATTGCCTTTTCCCCCCATTAATTGTTTCATTCCATTTCCACTCGATGGATATTACATTTGATACACATTTCTTTTTCAGAAGGGTCTTTAAGTTCTGTTTAAGCATGAAATTACAAAATTTTACCAAATTTTAGCAATTTTTCAAGAACATTAATTTTCCAAAGAAATGGCAAAAAGTTAGCCTTTTTTCTAAACCGTTTTCTAAAAAATCTATTGAGTCTATTGCAACCAGGGTTTATGTGTTTTATAAATTTTATTATTATAAATTACAAATTTGTAGCTAGGGGTTTTTAATAGTATTTAATCGTTAATTTTTAGCAACAATCTAAAGTTGTGCCAAACGTTTACACCTTTTCTCTTAAAAAAAAAAAATCTATGCTTCCAGGCTTGGAAACTAGTTATTGCGTTATAAAGAATGAAAAAAGAATCGCTACAAAGAAGAATAATACAACTTGATGATACAATGATTTATACTGAAGTTTTGTCATGTTACCTTTTAAAATGATTAAGTTTTGTTCTTTGTTCTGTTACGACATTTAAAAAAAATTTGCGTACATTTTTTGGGGCCATTGTATCTCAAGAGTAGAAAAACATTGCATGACAATCAAAACAAATTTTCTGAGTGGCTTTTTTTACAATGCATTTGCAGCTAAGAGACACTGTGATCAAAAAGGCACGTAGAGCATATATACACATTTAAATTTATAAATCAATTTAAAAAATCCAGCAGACTTATGAAGGGTGTTATATTGATAATGGCAGGTTTTCTTCTCAGGAGTCAGTAGTAAAGTTAGAATGCGAAACGTTAAGACCGCAGTTAAAAGTATGAAGTTTCATTTAGATTCATGATCACTGCACATCTACATTGTTATGTAGAACATTTTCATACTCTTTTATTGACCTTTTAAGAAAGACCGTTGTCTGAGCGCTTTGTAACTTTTACGAAAGAATGAATTTTTGTCATGTTTTCCTCTTTTTAAAATGTGAGAATTGTACGATATAATTAGTGTAAACAATTCGGCAGCATTTAAACCTCAATGTCAATTGTTTAACAGGTGTATTGTTCTAGGAGAGATGTAAAAAATAATATAATGTTTCGCACGGCAATTAATCCTTTTTCCCAAAAATCTTGGAAGCTTAATTAATAGGAATACAATAGTTAGTGTAAACAATTTTACTTGAAAAAAATCAGGTTGATTTTGTTTTTGAGCTT